GTAATGAATAGGTAATCCCAGCATTATTTGGCCTTAATCCGGTTTCCAACTTTATGGGGCTTACTGTAATCATTAATCCGTAGTATCTGAAGCCACTTATTGCCCTAGACTTTCAATCTGTCAAGCCCGCATAAATCCTAAATTCTAAGCCCTGGCCGATGAATATAGAAGCCTGACTAGTTTTGTACCAGTATGCCTTGGGGCTCGTTACTGCTGCTCATTCTATAATCCAAGAATCTTTATGAAGGCCACTAAATCATGGAACCCTGATGGTAACCCTTATAGAAACCCTTATTTACACAAACCCTTGAGGCCACTATATTAAGCTCCTAGGCCTTTGTTGAGCATCTCGGGCGAACCAAGGCGCCCAAGATAGCCCGTGCGTGTTCGAGATATCGATTAATTAAGTTTGTAAGCCCTACACCTTGAACCTGAAAGGTAGGTCTTTGGTTTTAGACTGTTTTTGTTCTACAGGCTCAATGCTTTTGGATTTTCGAGTTCAGCATTCATAGCTTTATGGGTTTAAGTCTGGCTAGGGCCATGGTTGCTGTCCAGATACGCTGATGCAAAGGCAGCAGGGCTAGTCTGCAAAGTTTAGCCTGTTGTGCCGCCACTTCTCGGACGTCTAGGCCTCCTCCTCCTTCCTCCCCCCACCAGGATAAAGGGGTAGAAACCGTGAAGCGATTCGGTGCTCTGGGGGGAAATGCCTTCTGCTTGCGCCCATGGTTTGGAAAAGCTTCCAACATGGAACGCCACAGCTCTAAGGATTGCGGTCTAAGGTGTAAGTTAGGGCTTAGAGTCAAGGAGTTGAGGCCTGGGGTTTGTACATGGTTTTATAAGGTTAGGATGTAAGGCTTGAGCTCCGCCGACCCCTACTGTATAATGGGGTCCATGTCGAGCTGTTGGCAAAGAGACTTCCAAGCTGTTGCCGGTCATGAACAGCGGAGGGGCAAGGGAAAGTGGCTTCGGGTTTAGGGTTTAAGTTCTTGTGGCCGAGGCCTTGGCCGCCTAGTGTTGGAAAACTGACATAAGGCTCGTAGGATCTTGCTGATGCATCGCGGAGTAGCAGTTCAACCGTACTCCCCAAAGCTACACACACCATACACCCTACACTCGCTGACAGAGACCAAAACCCCAAAAGCTTTGTACCTTGGCCCCAAAGTGCCTATGCATAAGTACTTTACGGCCAAAGTATACACTACTTGGGCACATGGACCATTAGGGATCCATTACCCTAAGGGTCCAAGTACCACTAATAATCATATACTCTCTTAAATATTGAGCTACATGACTACTACCCTAAACCCAAGTACCTAATTATTGGGTCCTTTGGACCCTTAGGGTTAGGGACAAGTACTTCGGACTTCGACACCTGCTCCTCCGATTTACGCAGGGCGGGGACCGAGAGCCCCGCCTAGAAATGGGCGCAGCAAGCCAGTTCGTGGATCCTGTGAATGTTTCCTGCCTGTCTGTTGGGTCTTAGAGTCTTCGGGGTTTGGAGTTTAGGTATAGGGTTTAGAGTCTTGGGCTTGGGTAGTAGAGGACAGAGTTTGGGGTTTGGGGTTTAGAGTTTAGGGCTTTAGGGCTTGGGGTTTAGGGTTTCTATGCTGGCCAGGGAGGGAATACCCAAAGGCCCCAAAGTAGTTCCTTTTGGGGGTTCATATTTAGAATTTTATAAGGTAACCCCAAAAGGGAACTACTTTGGGGCCTTAGGGTAGAGTCCAGGAGTCAATCTTCAGGCCAGGATTCAGCGAGTAAGTAAGGCTTTAGGGCTCATGGTCAGGGTGTTTCTTGGCTTGAGGTTTCCCTAAGGGTCCAAAGGACCTAATACTCGCGTATTCGGTTTTAGGATAATTGTTATGTAGGTTACTCTTTTGGAAAGTATGTTTCAACTGGGTACTTGGACCTTTTGGGTTCGGCTGCAGGAGCAGCCCGGGGCAGAACTTCTGATGCATGCTCGCCTGAGTCGTCTTCTCTCTGTGGTTGTTTTGGTGGTGGTCAGTAGTAATATAATGGCCTAAACACTTACCAATACTACTGTGGGGGGGTTCCTTATTATGATTATAGTATAATATACGCCAAAACCCCCATTCTAAGTTCTGAGGCTCCTACAGTACGTCGTCGTCGACGACCTTGAGTCACCGTCGTTGTTTCTTTGTTTTCCCTTGCACTGCCATTGGGCAGTAGGGGCCTGAATAGTTGCCTATACTATTTTGTGGGTTCCTTCTTGCAAGATCTTACAAGTATAGTATAATGCGCCCCAAAACCCTGTTCTAATCATTAAGGCCCCTATATGACCATCTAAGGTATTGAACTCTGTTCTGTTGTATAAGATGCTGATGATCCGCATTCGGGACAGGCAGGAATTAGTGTCTTTGCCTGAGGCAAATCGATGCAAATCCCAACTGTACGATATGGCTGCTGCACGCAAACTTGCAGACTCTGCCAGACCTGGGGTCAGCATTTGCCATGATAGGGCACCGTACAGGTCCGTCTCTGTCGGCACAACTGCAGTCGACCACATGTCAGAAACTCAGATGTCTTATGCACCCAACCTAACCACTGTATAGCATTCCTTTACGATTCCGCACATGTTACAGCGAGGCAGCCCCTCCCCTTGCAATCAATTCCATTTTGACGATGTCTCCTTACCGGATTTCTCCCGCCACATAACTGGTGACGGCTCCTGATCCTACACTTCCCAACCTGATTCTTGATTTTTACTTCAAGGGATACAGTTCAGATTGTAGTTATGTACACCATGTCGGCGCATGTCATGCTACATGTATTAAAACTGAGCCACAGACTTGCAACCAGTTTAGACTGGACCCCTGCATGCTTTAAATACGCGCCTGTTGCACGGTCTTTTATACCGCCTGGGTAATCGGCGATGGTAGTTGCTGCAAGCCATTGCCATTAGCCTGGTGGGGCCGTGCGATAGGAGTTTTCTGAACTAGTCCGTGTGTTAAGCGTGTTCAGAATCCCCGAATGCAACTTTCATTCTGAAAATGCTGAACCAAAACGCCCCTGCAAGACAACTCTCAGTCTAAATGCTGCTACGATAGGGGCCTAAATAATTACCAATACTATTTTGGAGGTTCCTTATCATAATCAGAGTATAGTGGGCCCCAAAACCCTGTTCTAATTATTAAAGCCCCTATATTATAGTACCAATTTAAAGGAGCCCTAAGCCCTGTTCTAATCATTAAAGGCCGGGCTTCGGCCTCGGCATATCGTAAGGTTTCAGCAGTCCCATATTCGAAATCTGAGCAGGCATCTAGCTCCCAGCGACGACCAGGACCCCCAAGTGCCCCTTAATGGGCTCTTAGCTTCCTTATTAAGAGGTAAATAAGGGCTACAATAAAGGGTAGTTGGGGGGTCTAGGGACACCATGCCAAGTAAAACAAGTGGGGTTATAAGTAGGATAGCAGTAGGATAACTACAGTTATAGCTTATAACCCATATTGGAGGACATATAACGCCACTTATAGCTACCCATGAACCTCCAAGACTTCAAGAGGGTGTTCGAGTGTCGGGCTCATTCCCAACAAAGAAACACGTCATCGGAAGCCCCCAAAAGGCCCAAAGCCCTGAACCCCAAATGCCCACAACCCTGAGCCTTAAGTTCCTCGGCATTTGCAGAGCACGAGGCTTTTGCGTGCAGCAGCCAAGTCAGTTTTGTAAGTGGTCTTCGCGTGCGCGAGAGGCCAACTGCATGCGCATCAGAACCGAACATATCAGAGGGTGTTTTCGGGCTTATAGGGTTTAGTATAAAGGAGTTTGCGTTATGTTGCACCGTGTTTTGTGCCCCCCCCCCCCCGCAAGCAAGCAAGACTCGCGACGTTGTCTCTCGAAATTGAGACCCTGATCGCTATGCAAGCCCTATGTAGACGTGGAGGTCCGCCCGGTGCAGTGCGCACGTTTGCTCCCGATTCTTTGAACCGTGCAGGCTGATCTATGGGGTTTTTAAGGTTTACAGTACACACGATTGAACATAGTAGGGGCGTTACCCAAAGGCCCCAGAGTAGTTCCTTTTTGGGGTTCATATATAGAATCCTATAAGGTATCCCCAACAAGGAGCTACTATGGGGCCTTAGGGTAGTAGGGGCGTTAACCCTAAAGAGTTCTACGAGTCTGCCCTGAAGAACGGACGCGTAGATTCAGGTCTTGGTTGGCTTTGGGGCTTGATTTTCAAGTTTCCATAAGGGTCCATGTACTCATATAGTAGATAAATTGGCCTTAAAGTGCTCCCTATATAGGTACATTGGGCCCAAGTATATGCTATATGGGTACATGGACCCTTAGGGTCTAGTGCTGAAGATAATCGTCACCAGCCTGCACGCATTGTGCGAGCGACATGCCACAGAATTCGAGAAGGTCGCTGTGTCCTGCTTTGTACTTTCTTCATGGTGCAGTTTGTGCCATGATGCTGGAATTTCCGTGCATGCAGCCAAGGGGCCAGAGTGTGGTCCAGTCATGTGCCCAGGAAAGGAGGCGCCATCCCAAACCATCGCAGGGTTTTACGCTTTTCCTTGAGGAACGAAAACCTAGCAGTGGTAGGCTTTGAGTTAGGGTTCCGAATTTACGACAACTTCGGCCCCTATATTATACAGCCCCCAATTCATCGATGGATGCTGTGTGCTTTGGCAAAGCCAAGTGCATAACGGCAAAAAACTGTGCCTGCATATGAAAAATTACAAAGTCGACATTGCAGGGACCGGGTGCTTGAGGGTTTTGGAGCTTACGGCTGAGGGTTCAGCGTGAGCTACCAAGCCTCACCAAAGGCTCCATGTACCCATATAGTAGGTACTTAGGCCTTATAAAGTAGCCATATAGGGACCCCTTTAAGGCCTAAGTACCTACTAAAGGGTACATGGAGCCTTAGGGTCAGAAGACAAGATCCATGTGCGGCCAGGAAGTCCGCGGCTTGGCGCTAAGGATAAGCCCTAGACTCTAAACCCTAAACCAAACCCTAAAGCCCCCAAACCCTCATTCACCAGGAGGTTTGCCGCAAGCACCTCAGGGCCCCGAGCTGCCAAGGCCGCTTTTAGGGCTTCGGGTCTTGGGGTTTGTGGTTTAGGGTTTAGGGTTTAGGGTTTTAGGGTTTAGGGTTTAGGGTTTAGGGTTTGGGGCGTGTTTGAGGGTTTTCCGTTGGAATGTTGTGGGTTTAGGGTTTGAGGTTTGTTTCAGGGTTTTGGGACCAGTTTGGGCTTCAGTTCGGTTAGCTTCATTACTCCTTCAGTTGTTTTCGGCTTTTGCAGCTTGCTTTCCATGAAACGGTTGCGGGGTTAGGAGCGCCTTTGTTGGAGGGTTTTGTAGGGCTGATGGTATAAATCCTGCATTGCCTTAAGGATCCTAAAGTATGGGGATTATGGTGTGTTCCTTACTAAGCCATAGTTATCATCAACCCTAAACCCTAAAACCCTTTAGATGCCTTAAAGGAACCCTTAAAGGAACCCCTTATAGATCCCTTTAAAGGAGCCCTAGGGATTTATGTCATCAGCCGTAGGGCTGAGGTTAAAGGGAACTCCAGAAAGTTGGAATTTGGTTTCATGGTAGGATACCCTACAATTTACCATAAAGGGGTTAGGATAATAATATTCCAACTTTCTGGCTTTTACCTTAACGCCTGAAGCAGTTTAGCCGATTTTGCCCCAGGGCTTGAGGTCAAACATCCGATTGTCAGACTGGCCCCTCAATGTTGCCGTCGCATTTTGCAGGTTCCTGGCCTTACAACCCAACCCAAAAACCCTAAAACCCTAAACCTTAAATCCCAGGAATTCTAACTGTTCTGCAGTTCGAAAAGGGCCCATATAAAAAAAACCTAAATCCCTAAACTCCTCAATCCATCCCAGACCCGAGACCTTAAGCCGCAAGGCCCTCGCAAGCCCAAGCTCAAGCCTCTGGAGTACCAGACTTTAACTTTAGTACTTGTTTCTAAATGGAGCCGTGATAAAATGAAAGTTTATACTTTTTTCTCCCTGGTTACTTAAAAGCCCGGTAGAGCCTCCGCCCAGAGCTTGAAGCCTCCTCAGGCCGAACGGCCCTGAACTCTGAGCTTTTCACCTCCGATGCCCAAACGCATGGTTTAGGGTTTAGGATGTACCAGGACCCTAAGTGCCCCTTAATAGGCTCTTAGCTTCCTTATTAAGAAGTAAGTAAGGGCTACAATAAAGGGTTGTTTGGGGGTCTAGGTACTGGCGAGAACATAAACCCTCGAGCCTTGAACCGTTTTGGTCACAGGCGCTGCTCGATGCGCTGGACGACGTCTTTCGACACCTCGCACCTAGCGAGAGCGAAAGGAAGAGCAGTGTTCAGATGCGGTTGAGAGGATTACAAGACCCTAAAAAGCCTGCTTGTCTAGGGTTTCTTATTTTCATTTCCCTCTACATAGATAGGTAAAGATAGATAGATGCTTAAGTCCTGACGTCCTGAAACAGGTAGGCTATTGATGCAGAGCCCTTAAGGCTCTAGGAGCCCGAGAGCACGGAGCTATGTGGTCATTCTCGTTAACATTACAGAACTATCCACCCACCCTAAACCCTAATTCCTAATCCTTAAACCCTAAACCCTAATCCCTAAACCCTAAACCTAAACCCTAAACCCTATATCCTTTCCTGTTGGTCATCTGCCCTTGATGTTTGAGGCAACCTGAAGGGACCAATCCTCTGCCTGCACGGCTGGGGCCCCAGTCCTTCCCTGTTTCAAGCCTACCCTAACCTTAGGGGTACTTAGAAATATTTTTAAAGTTTTGCTTATTATAATCCCTAAGAAACAGCTAAAATTATAATTTTTGCCAGGGTTCTACGTTCAGTATAGTAACGCCCCATAGTAGTTCCTTTTTGGTGGATACCTTATAGGAATCTAAATATGAACCACAAAAAGGAACTTCTATGGGGCCTTATAGGGTAGCTTAAAGAGGAGGATTGCCCATCTTCCCAGGCGTTGATGTAGGTTGCTGGTTCGAAGCTCAAGGGGTTTGGACTGTAATGTCTGCGTGTCAGGGCGTTGAGCTCAGAATATGACATATGATGTAGGTGGCTCTCTAAATCAGGGCCCTTTTTGGGTCGCAAGAATACGGCACCCTTATAAACATTACGCTAAGAAGGGACATGGCTTTAGAGAACTACCGGGCGTTTGGGATTTCGACTGAGGTCTTATATAGGGTCTTGGCCTTGCGCTCTTGGGTCTCAAGGTGCGAGGGATTTACGACAGGAGCCTAAAGAGTTACCATCATATTTTGCCTTAGAGCTTCTCTTTCTGTTTATACTACAAAGGAGCCCAAACCCTTTATATACTCTAATGAAATTATTACCCTAAGGGTCCATGTACTCATATAGTAGATACTTTGGCCTTAAAGTACTCCCTATATAGTTACATTGGGCCCAAAGTATATGCTATATGGGTACATGGACCCTTAGGGTTAGGCCCCTACATTAGAGTTTAGGGTTTGGGGGGTCGCAAGATGATCTTCTACGAGGTACCAGAGATCCGACTCCTCCTAGGGTTCATTATAAGAACCTACAAACAAGTAGGGTTTGGTAGGTTAAGGTAGGGTTGAGGGTGCAGGGCTTATAGGGCCTGGGGTTTAGAGGCTACGTAGGGTGGTGGAATTCTGAACCCTTCAACCGTAAACCATGTATCCGAAGCCTAGGTCCTGAGCTCTCCACCTAACTCCACGTCTCGAACCCTACCTATGGTCTCCATTGTGGTTCCTTTTTTTTGGTTAACCAAAATCTCTATTATAGGATCCTAACCATAAAACTGGTTAACCAAAAAAAGGAACTACAGTGGAGGCTATAGGTAAGGCCAACTTCCAGATGCACCGCAAGAGTTTACGCTCTAGGCTTCAGGGTTTGTCCTCCTGAGCCTCTAAGCCCATAGAAGCAAGCCGATAAGGATGGCTGATAGCAGATAAGCAGAAAGTAGAAATGGGTTTTGGGGTTTAGGGTGTACCTTAACCTGCCAAACCCTACTTTTTTGTAGGGTCCCTATAAACTCCATATTAGGGTTCATTATAAGAACCTACAAACAAGTAGGGTTTGGTAGGTTAAGGTAGGGTTGAGGGTGCAGGGCTTATAGGGCCTGGGGTTTAGAGGCTACGTAGGGTGGTGGAATTCTGAACCCTTCAACCGTAAACCATCTATCCGAAGCCTAGGTCCTGAGCTCTCCACCTGACTCCACGTCTCGAACCCTACCTATGGTCTCCATTGTAGTTCCTTTTTTTGGTTAACCAAAATCTCTATTATAGGATCCTAACCATAAAACTGGTTAACCAAAAAAGGAACTACAATGGAGACTATAGGTAAGGCCAGCTTCCAGATGCACCGCAAGCGTTTACGCTCTGGGCTTCAGGGTTTGTCCTCCTGAGCCTCTAAGCCCATAGAAGCAAGCCGATAAGGATGGCTGATAGCAGATAAGCACAAAGTAGAAATAACGGAATAATTAGGCAATGCTGGCAACAGGGACGGCAATGATATCAGGGATATCGTTGCCAATGTGCTCATCGTCAACATTTGCTCCCCCCTCCAGCCCAACACAAAAGCAAACTACACCTCACACCAAAAAAAACTGAACCTGAACTCGAGGACCTCCTGGCATTGGCTCTTCGGCTGAGCATGAACTGGCAGAGTGGGACTTCGCTGTTTAATGAGGTTCAAGGGTGTGTCGTCTCTTTGGAGTCTGGTCTTTTTTTTGTGTCATTGGCTACCTCACCCCAGGGAATCAGAACAGATGCTTGCCGCGGTTCTAGGCGGACTACAGCTAAATGGCGTCGGATGAAGGGGTTCAATGGCCGCCGTTTCATGAGAATTAACTAACTTAATTAACTTAACTAGTTTCATTAATTTAACTAATTTAGTCAGTTTAATCAATTTACATAATTTCATTAAAGTCGTATTTTTTAGCCTGGTCCCGAGGCTTCTCTTATGGGGGGGCCCACGGAATTGGGGGTATACGCAGAGCGGCCTCATATCTGCTTTTTTACAATATCCGTGGTGGGAGTTGGTGCGGCTATTGCCAGGGACGATTCTGAGGATACTTTACCTATAGTCTCCATTGTAGTTCCTTTTTTTGGTTAACCAAAATCTCTATTAATGGCTCCTAACCATAAAACTGGTTAACCAACAAAGGAACTACAATGGAGACTATAGGTAGATGTCTGTTCTCGAGAATCCTGTAGCACCCTGTAAACGAACCTTGATAGCAATTCGGTTTTCAAAACCTGGCAACCCCCGCACGCCCCGGGACCCCCTCCACCCTCGGTTCAATTCGGGTTTAGGGGTTAGTCCCACCCGAAAAGGTTTGCGCTAAGACCAAAACACTTCTGAAAATCACCAGAGCAACAACCCTAGAATCTTCCCGGATAATAATGATAAATCCGTATTAGTGCCGCTCAACAGGATAGGCTCAACATGAAATAAACTCCCAGAAGGCAGAAACCTGTAGCTCCTGGCCGAGCCGTCAAGGTAAGAAATCAGTAAACCTTACATGAGCTCAGTATGACACCTAGAATACAGCCTCCAAAAAGAACCCGGAGGGAGGCCCATAAGCCCCATAAGCCCAACGCTGAAACTTGACCCCTACAACGCTTCACATAAAGCCTCCATGGAGGATCATGGGACTTAGTAAGTAGAGTTATAAGTACCTCAATTGGGTTATGGTATAAGTATAGTTACCCTAAAAATATCCTTAGTTACCAAGTCCCATGATCCTTTAAGCAAGAGGGTACCTTATTTTGGGGCCCTTATAATAAGGATCCTACTATTCAGGGTAGTATATTTGGGTCTCCTATTGTCGGAAACTCCCATGATCCTTTGTTCTAAGGCCCCAAAGTAGTTCCTTTTTTGATGTTAATCTTTTATAAGGTAACCCCCAAAAGGAACTACTTTGGGGCCTTTGGGTCCCCTATCCCTGGGCATCAAAATAGCCCAAAAGCCTTGTATAGTATGGTTTTTGGGCCCAAAAGCCTTAATATATGAGTCCTTAGATGCCTAGGGTATTGTCGGAAACTTCCCATGGTCCTTTAAGTCTGAAGGAAAGACCTCACTGGGTCGCTCTCTCGCACGCGCCATGGGCCGCGAGCCCGGCTTGTGAAGCGACGGGGTAGCAAGGTTGCTACTTAAAGACTCAGGGTTCCTATCCTTCTAAGGGTTTTTGGTTTATAGGGTTTAGGGTTTAGGACCTAAAGCCTAAACCCTAAAAGCCCTGTAAGCCCTATAAGCCCCTAAAGGATTCACTGAAGGGTTTCTTAAAGGGTTCCGTACCAGGGGTCCATAAGGCTCCTATAAGGCGGGTCAGGGTACTCAAAGGATCATTGGGCTTAGTAACTTCGGAGGCGTCACAAGGTGGGATGAAGGTAGGTGGGATTAAGGATCCCTCATATAAGGACTCTTATTTGGGAATATCCCACCTACCTTCATCCTACCTTTTGAGGCCCCCGATAACTTGGGGTTTATTATTACCCCAAGGCCCCAGGGTAGTTCCTTTTTGGGGCTACCTTATAGGATTCTATATATGAGCCACAGAAAGGAACTACTACGGGGCCTGAGGGTAGGGTTACTATACCTAGAACCACATATAGCTCCGATGGAGGTACCTACAACCATACTATACTAATTAAGTCTCATGATCCTCCGAGTATGGGGGCCTTTGCATGGTTCTTGCCCCATGATGTAGCCCCATCCCAGATCTCAAAGCAAACATCCCCAAACAGCATCGTAAGTCGTAAGCATCAGCAGCTGAATATCGTATACTCCTGAAAGTACTAGCCGACATGACATCCTAAACTCCGAGACCCAATAGACAAGGTAGCTTTGACTCGTCGGTCTAGTTACTAACTCGGAGACTTCTGAATAGACTGAGACCCTTGGCTACGACCAACCGGACCTACAGATGTAATAGTCAGCAACTTCTGTGTGTGTCTCGGTATCCTTTACTTCGATTCCTGCCACCTAACCGCTATACCGCGCTTAGGATTCAAGGTAGGATGCCTAAGACCCTCTTGATGGAATGTGTCCCAGCAGATCCTCCCCGCAAATACTCCCAAATCACTTGATTCTGGAACCACAACGGGGCTCCTTGTTACCCCGAGCCATTGAGCCCCTAAGCCTAAACCATAAACACCAAACTCCAAACGCACTACCGCAATACCCTCAGCCCTGACTCCACTCGTACCAGAAAAGGCCACTACACCTTAACAAAAAAAAAAACTCCAACTTCGCCAACCTAAACCCGAACTCCAATCCGCAAATTGGGAGTTTCCGAAAATTAGGGGACCCTTCTTTTTGGGTCCGTAAGGATCCTACTATTTAGGGTACTCTAATAGGGTCCCCTATTTTCGGAAACTCACAAATAGCTGAACGCAAGAACCCCAAACTCGAAACTCTCAGCCCCTTTCCAACAACAAAGCATCGTCTTAGGGCTGATAACGGTTGATGACATAGATCCTGCATTACCTTAAGGACCCTAAACTATGGGAATTATGGTATATTCCTTATTATGTGTAATGTAGGATTTATATCATCAACCGTAAGCCCAAGGCCGGAAGTTCCACCGCATCGCCCTCGGAGGCCATGACCGGGTTTAGGGTTTAAGGGTTTAAGGTTTTCGCTTTAGGGTTTACTTAAAAGATCATGGGACTTAGTAACTAAGGCTATTATTAGGGTAACTATACTTATAATTACTTATAACCCCAATTAAGGTACTTGTAACCTTACCTACTAAGTCCCATGATCCTCCAAGTAGGGTCTGGGGGTTACCCATTTTTGTAAAGGTTTCAATGAGGACCTTCACCACAACTCAACGTTGAGGGACAGAGCCAGAGGTCAGCAATATTGGACCCTGTGGCCGTCGTACTCCAGCGAGGGTGGTTACCCTTGCTTTAATTCAGAGAACCCTCATAGAGCCCGAGAGCCCTCATAACCCTTACCGCACCCTTGTAGAACCCCATAGAACTCCGTAGAGCCCGAACCCAGCAAAAGCCGAGAACCCTACCTAGACCCCCAACTACCCTTTATTGTAGCCCTTATTTACCTCTTAAGTAATAAGGAAGCTAACAGCCCATCAAGGGGCACTTGTGGGCTCCTGGTAAACCCTAAACACAAAATGCTTTGGGAGGTGTTCGCGATGAGGCGGAGCTCCGCGGGCATCGCGGGAGACCCAACGTCAAGTTTGGGTTTATCTGAGTATTTGGGTTTGGGTGTGAGGGTTTAGGGGTTTACTTTTCGGGGTTTAGGGGTTTGGGCTTTTATGGTGTTCAGGGTTCTAGGTTTTTTAGGGTTTCGGGACCCTAAACCCTATAAACCGTAAACCCTAAACCGTAAACCCTAAACCGTAAACCCTAAACCCTAAACCCTAAACCCTAAACCCTAAACCCTAAACCTGTTTCGGGTTTCGGGTTTTACCTTGCTCGCAAGGGTCCTGAGCTTGCGGAGAATCTGGAGCCGAGCCTGTGGCTGTGGGTTCGGGTACTTGGAGGATCATGGGACTTAGTAAGTAAGGTTATAAGTACCTTAATTGGGGTTATAAGTATAGTTACCCTAATTATAACCCTAGTTACTAAGTCCCATGATCCTTTAAGTACCCAAGACAGTAACCAAAATGGAGACTACCTATAGTCTCCATTGTAGTTCCCTTTTTTTGGTTAACCAGTTTCTACGGTTAGGATCCTATAATAGAGATTTTGGTTAACCAAAAAAGGAACTAAAATGGAGACTGTGGAGGATATTTGTAGCACTCTTCTTGCGCAGCGCCCTCTTTCTAGTAGTAAGATGTGCCTTCCCCCCCCCACACCCCGGACCCTAAACCCTAAACCTGTTGTGGTGTTTTGGCTTGTGCACGCTGCACTTTAGACCAGCTCAGCCCAGACTCAAGACTCGATCTCCGAAGCTGTGAATGGTAGCTTGGGGATACTGAGAGGTTTAGGGTGTAGGGTTTAGGTTTATTTAGGGTTTAGGGAACCCGACGCCCTAAACTGGACCCATGCAACCCTCAGAACTAATAGGGCCTTAGTAACTAGAATAGGTTTTGGGGGCCCATTATACTATACTTTCTTATAAGTAACTTCCAAAATTGTATAGGTAGTTGTTCAGGCCCCTTCTTTCAGATTCCCCGCAGGATGCGACTCCCCAATGCAGAAGGCCCCACTCAACAGTCAGGAAGACCAGCGCCCGAACCAGCCTTCCCCCAAAATTATGCTTTGGGGCTTGAGGCTTAGTGGTTAAGTTTAGGGTTTAAGGGTTTAGGGTTTGGGGCTTTACTTTTGTAAACCCAAATTAAATCTTAACCCTGAGGGTCCATGTGCCCAAATAGTATATACTTTGGCCTCAAAGTAGTCCCTACAAAAGTACCGTGGGGACTATTTGGGCACATGAACCCTTAGGGTGAAGCAGCAGCTAGGCCCCAGACATTTAACTCGTGGCGACGCCACTCTGGGACACAAGGTCGGACCTACATCGGGAGCATTCCTGGGGTCATTATCCAGGCGGGATATACCCAGGCCTTCCAGTATCCGTTAAGGATCCATCCCTTAAGTCATCTTCGGGATCCTACCATACTTTAAAGTATATTCCTCAATTATTCAATTAAGCGATACTGGAAGGTCTCGGTAATTGAGTGTTTTGGATTCGCGACCTCAGATTGCAGTGCTGCGGGGTTGAGGTTTTGTGGTTTAGGGTGTCAGTTTGGCGCCTTTAGGGTGATGAGGGCATTGGGTTTAGGGTTTAGCGCCCCTAGTATAGTATTTGCCCTGCATAGTAGGATCCATAGCAAAAGGAGCCCAAATCTAAATCGAGGGTCTTGGGTGTACTTTTTTAGGGGTTGTTGGGGTTCACGGTGCCCAAGCCCCCAAAGCCAAAAGCCTTAACCTCTATGCGTCCTGATGCCCAAGCCCTGCAGCCTAAACCTTCAGCCCTTGACCCTATGGTCCTATAGTCTCAAGATTTTGGGGGTGTACCTATAGTCTCCTTTGCAGTTCCCATTTTGGATTTAACAAGCTCTGTTTTAGGATCCTATAAGGTGACCGCAAAAAGGAGCTACAACGGAGACTATAGATAACGGCCCAAGTCCTTGAGTAACCCTGCGTCCGAACGTGTAAGCCCTAGACCATAACGTTAAAAAGCCCTAGACCCTTCATCCTGTCGTCTCGCGCTTTTGAGCCAAGCCCTAAACACCAATCCTGTACCCTAAATGTTCAACCCCAAAACTCTAAAACCCTAAATCGGCATGCGAACAGATAAACTTACGTGGAAGCCCTCAGATCCGAAATCGGAATTGTCAGCTATTTTCATGGTTTGTACTTTGGATTTAGGCATGCAGTTTGGGGTTCAGAGTTCAGCGTGCAGGGTTTAATTTAGCTCAACTTTTGCTGATATGGTTGTTTGTGCTCTTTCTGTACATAGTTTCTGGGGTTTCCTCCAACATGCTTACGTTGCAATAGTTCTGCGACACCGGTGCTGGCAGAATGTATGAACCTCCAGGCTTCGGGTGTGTTACACTGCGAAATCTACGGCTAAGAGCATACAACCTTGACCCTCATGCCTGATACCCTAAATACCTGTAAGAAGCACCCATGCCCGCTACAGGCTTTCCAGACCCTGGGCGTGAACAATCCCGTGATCTTGCTCGACGAGGCTGCCGGCTCAATGCTTTCGAGCAAGAGCTCGATCTGGGACGTGCCTCGCGCTACACGTCAATCCCTCTGTTACTCCTTGTTTGGGGTGTCTGAGCTTTCAAACATTTCTGAGGCGCTTGGCTAAGAGATCTAAGCCTCTAATTCAAATCCAGCTGCTTCTCATCCCTCCCCCGCTTTCAGATTTCACGGACCAGCCACAAGCTTCTTGCACTAAGCCCTAAAGCCCTCGTCCCGAAATCGAAGTGCAGGGAGTTGCAGGCAACAGGGACCTTACAGCAGAACCGCTAGATAGCATTGTCCTTTCCAGTCAACTGCAGTAAACCAAAGCACTTGTCAGAATCTTGCTGTAGGCCCCTTCTGACCCTTCATCCAGACCCGTGCAACTGACGTCAGTTCATCCGTTCGCGGAAGCGGCATGGGAAGGAAGCAGGAAGCTTTCAACGGAACCCCAGACCCCTGGAGCTCTTCTACAAGTTAGTGTCTTTACTCCCCAACCCTGATCCTGAGACTCTGAATGCCTCTTGTGAGATGCCACAGCTTAAACTCTGAAGCCAAGACTCAACGTCACTTCAGCTTTCGGATCCTCTGCAGTAAGGAATTGGGGCTTGCAAGGAATATGCAAGCCCTAAACCCGAAACTGTAAAACCCTAACCCCGAACCCTACGCCCTAAAGCCCTAAACCCCGAACCTGAAACCGTAAGCTCTAAACCCGAAGCCGTAAAGCCTGAACCCCGAACCTGAAGATCCGTTCAGAGGTCGACAAGACCTCGCAGAATTCGATGTTTAACCCTCAGGCCGATCTTTTCTGGACGCAGGGACTGCTGGGCTCTACAATCATAACGTTTCAGGGTGTGGGGTTTCGATGGGTTTCGGTGTTTTGGTGTTTTAGGGTTAAGGGTTTTGGGGGTTTCGGATTTAGGGTTTTAGGGTTTAGGGTTTTAGGGTGTATGGTTTTAGGGTTTAGGATTTTAGGGTTTCAGGGTCTAGGGTTTATGTATTTTTATGTATTAGAACATGGCATCTCATGATGAGTCTGTTGGGCTCTAAGACTTAGTGTGCAGGGTGGGGGTTCGGAGGTTCTGTTGGTTAAGGGTTAGGAGGGCTTAAAGTCAAGGGTTAAGGGTTTAGGGTATTTCCTAGTTCAGCATTTGGCGTTTCAAGACTCAGAAAATTTGGGTTCCATGTTGCGGAGTTTTGGGGCTTTTGTAGTTTAGAGTTTCCAATTTCAAGGCTTGTGTCCTTACAGGAGTACGTCGGTTTTCAGTGGTTAAGGCCGGGTTTAGGGTTTACGGCTTATTAGGGTCGACAGCTTGAACAGTCTTCGCGCCGAGAATCCCTGACTTCAGGGATTTAGGGTCCCTAAACCGTAAGCCCCTAAACCCTAAACCCTATACCGTCAACCTTGAACTGCGAACTCTAAACTAAGCCCTAAACCATCCACGTGCACAGGGTTGAGGGCTCAGCGCCCTTAACCCGTAGTCCCAAACCATTGAAAATCCGAAGCCATCAACCACATGCACCTTATGCCCTTGCGGCCCTTATCGCTGCCTATACAATGGTCTCGGGTTGGTTTAGGGTTTAGGGGTAGCAAGCTTCATGAAGTTCTATACTACTGAACCCATACAGAACGATAAACCCTAAATCCTAAACCCTATACCCTAAGGCCCCAAAGTAGTTCCTTTTTGGGGTTACCTTATAAAATTCTAAATATGAACCCCCAAAAAGAACTACTTTGGGGCCTTTGGGTAGGACTTACCCCCCCCCCTTCGAAAAAAACAGAAACCAACGCTTTTAGGGAGCGCTCCGAAGCTGACGAGCGCGAAGGCGACCTTGTTGGAGATCCTGGATCCAGAGCAGAACACGTCCTTCAAGGAGGGTGTTTCCCCGTTTAGAGTTTAGGGTTTAGGGTTAAGATAGGAGCTTAACCCAAAGGGTCCAAAGTACCTTTATAGTAGAGTGTAGGGGTTCTATATTGGGGATTATTATTATGACTTGGGGAAGTATCCCCCATAACAGTACAAGGAGGGTGTTTCGGGTTGGTACAGGGGGCCTTACCCTAAGGCTCTAAGGACTTTTATATTATCAAGGCTTTTGGGCCCAAAGACCAAACTATATGAGGTTTTTGGGCTATTTTGAGCCTTAGGGTTAGTATGTACTGAGCCAAGACCGTATAAAACTGTCATACCCGGACTATACGGGGTTACGGGTGCGGGTTTCGGGTGGACCATACCATACGGGCTTAGTGTGAGGCTTTTAGGTTTACTTCTTACCTATAATCTCCATTGTAGTTGTTTTCTCGGTTAACCATTTTTTATGGTTAGGATCCTATAATATAGATTTTGGTTAACCAAAAAAGGAACTACGATGGAGACTATAGGCAGGGTTTAGGATGCAGGATCTTAGATCCATGGGGCTTTCCACTGAGCAAGGAGACAAAGGCTTCGTAGGCATCGGTGTTGAAGAAGCCTTGTGTAGCCCCAATGCGGGTAGTTCTCTAAAATTAGGGTCCCAAATTGGGGTCCTCTTTATACAGGGTGCCGTATTTTTCCAGGTCATGAACATGGACCCTAATTTAGAGAGCTGCCTCTTTACAGAGAGCTACCTACACCGTCTGAGCCGCATCGTTCCAGTCGAGTCCACTAAATACAAAACGAGGGTTCGAAAGGCCCCTGCCGACAGCTAGGTTCGCCCTCAAGCCTCAAACCCTGAGCCCTTAACCCTGAAACCGTGTCACCTCAGATGCATGCCACCACCAGATATGGCGGCTACATTGTTAGAAAATCGCACGCCTCGTTGACCTGGTTTTCTGCATAAAAACCCAAATGGGTGGTTGTCAAAATTATGACCCCTTTTGGGTACCCTAAATATAAGGTGCCGTATTATAATAAGGACCCAAAAAGACAACCCTCATATTGACAACCACCCAAATCTTAGATTTAGTTTTTCGCGGCTTGTAGAGTTTAGGGTTCAGGGCTGCACCTCCAAACATCAGAGTATTGCACCTTCAAGCCTTACACTCTACCATAGGGTCCCAACTAGTTACCAACAGTATTTTTTTTGGGGGGCGGGTTCCTTTTTATTATTTATTATAGAATAATGGGCCCCAAAACCCTATTCTAGTTAACAAGGCCCCGAAATTAGTCGCCGGTAGCTGGGCCAGGACCATTACCTGAATACGCCGTTTGATCTGCCCGGCCCTCATCTTCTTGTATTCGACTAGGGTTCCCTTCCCATAAATCTGGTGGGCACTTCTTTGTTTCTGCTTGGCGCTTGAGGTTTTGAGCTTTAGTATTGTACCCACAGCCTCCGTTGCAGTTCCTTCTTGGGTTGCCTTTTCGGATCCTACCTACAAAGTTGCTTAGACCATGAAAAAGGAACAACAATGGGGGCCAGAGGCATACACGATCGGTTGAAGGTAGCAGCCTGCTGGGTTCTGAAGGATCTTACAGCCGAGGCTGGGTTAGGGAGCCGAGCGGACTTGCAGGTGGAGGGGGGGAAACGGTGCTTAGTTGCTTGTGATTGTGGCCTCAATTGGTTAGTGTTTGTACACATTCCTTTTTGCATCCATCCTTTGTTTTGGTGGTTTGGGTGTATAACTGACAGAGAAGCTGGCCACCTTGGCGAACCTACTGTTTTGCCGATCTCAGTGATGACGAGTTTCCAGCATGTACTACCCCCTAAACCCTAACCCCAGTGCGACCGTTTGGTGCCCTGGCTTGGGCATCTGGCAGCGGTGCCGCTACAATCGCAGCAGCATGGCAGCTCTTTCATCAGCGGCTTGCTCCTCAACATGCGAGGACTGCCCATCAACGAGATGTTCCTGGTACGACGGTTGCAGGTGCAGAGTGATATCAGTCTGCAGCTGACAGAGGACAACCTGCGGCGGGCGGAGTCCATGATCCATGTATTTCAGCGCATGATCCTGCTGAACTGCCTGTCACAGAGACAGCAGAGTAGCTAGTTCATCAGAACTCAAGCTCACATTGTCCCATCGACCTTGGCTCAATTTTGGGTACTGCCCCTACTCAAAAACCCTTGGATAATATTCATAATCTAGAATCTAGATACATTAGGACCTTAATGGGAGCCCTATTCATTATAGACTGTTACTGTATGGGGGACAGTACTTGGAGGATCATGGGACTTAGTATTGTTATAAGTACCTTAATTGGGGTTATAAGTAGTTATAAGTATAGTTTCCTTAATAATCACCTATTTACTAAGTCCCATGATCCTTCACCTAGACCCTCCGTCTACCCTCCATTAAACCCTAAGTGCTCCTTATTTGGGACCATATACCCCTATTTGAGGGTACAAGGAGGGTCCTTTCAAGTACCCAAGCTCATTTAATCGAGCGAGCATGAAGTTTCTCAACACGCAATGCGTGTGTGTTCGAAGCCAGGTTCTGAGCAGGGAGCAACGGGTAGAAGTGGCATATGGGAGTTTCCGAAACTTAGGGGTACCTTGGTTTTGGGGGTCCTTTTCATAAGGATCCTAGTATTTAGGGAACTATGTTAGGGTCCGCTGTTTTCGGAAACTCCCATATAGCTTCATCGTCTTTGATAGTAATGACTGCTTAGGGTTTGCCCTACGCTACAATATACCCCGAGACCCTAGTCTCATCATTAACCCATCCTTTTTTCACTGAGTCCTGATAACCCAGGCATCAAACCTGGCCTGGGAACACCCTTTTTTCTGTAGCTTTGCGACTGGTTGATCCCAATATCCCTTAATTGAGTAATATTCCTGATTAAGGAATGATGGAGTGTCTGGGTTGGTTGTTCGCCAAGGTCGGAGCTCATGGCTTCGGTTTTGCAGCTTTGGAATGTTCGGAGAGACCATGATCATGAAAAGAGTATGGTTCAACCCCAGACCGGACTAAACCCTAAACCCTAAACCGCAATGCCCAAGCCGTAAACCGCGACACCTCAAGGCCGAAAGCCTGAAGCCTGACATTTACCCTGAACCCTGAACTCAAAACTTACAACTTAAACTCCTAAACCTTAAACCCTCTATCTTAAACCCAAACCCCTCAAACCTTAAACCCTTAGTCTTAAACCCAAGCCCCTAAACCTTAAACCCTCAACCCCCTTGAGCCCAGAAACCTAAATGGTCCAAGTATCGTTATGGTATACCTTATAGGGTATTTTGGGGGTCTAAGTATATACCATAATGATACTTGGACCCTTTGGGAAAGGTCGCAAGCCATCTTCATCTGCACTGCTAACGACGCCTCCACGATCGACAGACCGCTTTTGGATCGGATGGAGGCTCAAAGCCCCTTGAAAGTTTAGGGCTTATATGGGCTTATAGGGTTTATATAGGGGGCCCTTAAAGGGTTCCTTTAAAGGATCTACAAAGGCTTTTCGGGGCTTCGAGGCGGATTTAAGTGCGCTTAGGGGTTCCTTCAAGGGCTGCTACAAGGGTTGCCTGAAGGTTCCTTTAAGGTTTGTAGGGTTTAGGGTTTGGGGTGTCTTCAAGGGAACGAGCGCGTGCCTGCAAGCAGGTGATTGACTTGGCTGGCTACACTGTGGAAGAGAAGGCCATCCGCCCCTGCGCTTTTACTATCGTCAAGCCTTATTCCTTATCCCTGGCCGCAGAGCAGATTACACAAGCGGGTTCAGCTGCTCACAACCCCCTGTCGCAGTCGATGCCTGAGAGCTCGGCGTTCCTTCCCAAGCACACTTCTTCCCGAGCCTAGATTGGTCGAGATCAATTGAATGTCTTTCTGGTGCAGCTGCAGATGAGACATGACGACCTCTAACAGCATAATCTTTTTCGACTAAAGAAGCCGCCATGCCTAGGCACCCCGACGGCAAGTCTTGCTCATAATTCAAAGCACGCCTGTCCGTCCTTACTACAAGGAAGTATCCGTATTCCTTACTGTACATTAGCCGCACGACCCTGCGACCCGCAATCCTCGCGTGTGACAAGCACTCACATCTCAGGTCGCCATTGCCACCAGCCACCTCCTTCCAAAGCAGCGAAAGCTTCACGCGCTTGAGGCGGGGCTCAGGGATTGAGGTCACCTGGGCTCTGCCTTACGGAACCTTCCTTTCGATCATGACGTTTATGGGTACAATTACAAACGACATCACTCTACAAAAGGCAGGGCCATATACAACATACAGGGGACTGATTGCTTTGGTGTAACATTTACCCTCTATATATGTGTATATATATATATATATATATACATATATATATATATATATATATATACATATGTATGGAGGGAGAGAGGGATATATATATATATATATATATATATATATGCATTCAGGCCTCTTTATCAACCAGAGCATGCTCGGAGTCAGCGGCCCAGGCTCCAGAATCCTCGAAAAGCTTCCGGCTGAAGGTGAAGCGACGCCCCGAATCCTCATCCCGAGCCGTAGGAAGCCAAAGCTTAGCCTAAGGCCCCAAAGCAGTTCCTTTTTGGGGTTACCTTATATAATTCTAAATATGAATCCCAAAGAGGATCTACTTTGCGGCTTTTGGGTAGCGCTCACAGTAAACACCGACAAGTTGGAAACCGGACCAATACCAAATAGTGCTGGGATTCCCGATGCATAACTCTTCATGATTGAGGCTTTGTTGGTTTTCAACTTTTGGGCTTCTACCTTAGGGTGAACCTGGTGAACCTTAAACTCCCATTCATGAGCCCCAAACCCTTTGTAAGCGCCCTTAAGGTTGTCCTGTGTCTTAGGCCTTCTAGAAGCCTACAAGGGCATCCTCACAGTCTCAAACTCTACGGTTGATTCGGTTGATGATATAAATCCTGCATTACCTTAGGGACCCTAGACTATTGGATTTATGGTATATTCTTTATTATGGGTAATGCAGGATTTATATCATCCACCGTAGTGCTGTCGGGAGGAGGAGCCAGCTGAGAATGGCGAGGCACAGCTGTTTACTCTTGCTCGGAAAGCAACATTATAAGTAGTGCAGATTGTGTATATATGGAAGTTTCCGAAAATTAGGGATACCTTATTTTGGGGTCCTTATGATAAGGATCCTACTAATTAGGCTACTATATTAGTTAGGGTCCCCTATTTTCGGAAACTCCATATATACATAAATATGTATATATACACACATAGAGTGTATACAGGCAACAAGTAAATACAAGCAAGTTCAGTACATACACAAGGTCAATGGAAAGCAGATAAACACATATACGCAAGCACGTATCTGCATACATACGCAATTACCCGAACAAGCGATAATAGACAAAGAAGCACACGATCCGATAACAAATAACAATAAACAGCCACATAAATGAGTAGAAACTTCTTTACCCAAAGGCCCCAAAGTAGTTCCTTTTGAGGGGTTCATATTTTGGATTTTGATAAGGTAGCCCCAAAAAGGAACTACTTTGGAGCCTTAGGGTAGGCCCAGCTGACTCCTGTCCCGCCAGGATGTTTGGCTTGAGCATAGGGGTCTAGGGCGAGGAAAAGTTGGGGTTTCCCGAAAGTCTCCATTGTAGTTCCTTTGTTTGGTGAACCAGTCTTATGGCTGGGATCCTACAAGAGAGATTTTGGTTAACCGAAAAAACCAAAAAAAGGAACTACGATGGAGACTATAGGTCCAACTCCAGGTGCTTGGAGTTAAGAGTTTCTGGCTGTGGTGTACCAAGACCCTTCGCCTCAATAGTGAGTAGTGCTCAAGCTACGCAAACGGCATCTGACGATGTCACTAGTTCACGGTGTCCAGCTGCGGCTGAATCCTGAACACCCTAAACAGTAAAACCCTAAACCCTAAAGCCCACCAAAACAAAACACAAACCTAAATCTGAGATCACGACCCTAAACCCAAATTTCCAAACAAATCCCGAAAAGTAATCCTCTGAGTTGGTTAAATCAAGTCTTGAAGCCAAACCCCAGAGAGCTTGACTTGAAATTTGGAAAACTTGTCATATAGAGGTCTGAACAACTACAGTAGAAGTCAGAAAGTTGGAACATCATTATCCTCATTCCCTTAAGGTAAAGTAGAGGGAATCCTCGCACTAATCATCCCAAGTCCATGTTCCAACTTTCTGGGGTTCACTATAGTAATCGTAGCCCGTTGTTATAGTCCCCGTGCAGAAATCGACCCAGACACCCACCCCAAAACCCTAGTACATATTCATTACATGGCCCCTACACCAGTCCAAAACGAATTCCGTCCACACCTCACTATCACTCGCTTCTTGAGACGGCCAATGTTAGATTTCGACCAATAATGTTGCAGAAGACGCTGAGAGGACAAAGGCGAGATGAAGGGGAAAGGTCCAGAATCCTCTTGCTCTCAACCCTAAAACCTAAACGTCAAACTCGCGCACTCCGCCGCCTCAGCCGCTCTAGACGGATGCTTAGGTATCAGAGTATTGGACTTGCGAGGTCCACCTTAGAAACCCCCAAGCTCCAAACCCGAAAGAAAACCCCGCGCCTTGAATGCCTAAATCTTTTAAAGCCGGAGCCTAGCCCCCGAGCATAGACCCTAAACCCGTAGAATGCCTAAACACCAGATCCCCCACGACCCTCCAACGCTGAAAGGGTTTCGGCTTGAAGCAAAAAAAGCCCCACAAAAGTGAGAACTGGAAAGCCCGCCTGTGTCCTAGGCGCCGCTGCCGCGTCTGGAGATCACAAGTGAAGCCTTAGAGGCTGTGTGACTGTTCATTATTATTACATTTCATGTATTCATGTAAAAATGTTTGGTTTAATGATGTATTCGTTCTGTTGTTTTGTGTGTCGTGCTTTCAGCATGTGCTCCATAGCCTTAGCCTTCCTTCCATGACTAGCAAGCATGACATCTCGCGACTTCCCGCACCTACGGTGGAGGATACAAATCCTGCATTATCTTAAGGGCCCGAGACTATGGGAATTATGGTGTATTTCTTAATATGGGTAATGCAGGATTTATATCATCAACAGTAGCACTGACAAGGCGTTCAGGGTTTGGGGCTGATAATGCCGTTTAGTTTTCTGTTAGGAGTTTGGGGCCTTGGTGGTCCAACGCCTGGGGCTATTAGGTTTGGATTTACCTATAGTCTCCATTGTAGTTCCTTTTTTTGGGTAACCAAAATCTCTATTATAGGATCCTAACCATAAAACTGATTAACCAAAAAAGGAACTACAATGGAGACTACAGGTAGGTTTAGTTAATTGGCAAGGCTTTTGACATCGTGAGGAACCCTGAATCCCTAAAGCATTGAAGCCCTAAAGCGCTACAGCCTAAACCCTGTCCTCGGCCCTTGTTGCAAGGTGTCATTCTCCCGCAACGAACTTAGGAAACCCTAAACCCGTATGAACAGATTCTTCTGCAATCTTATATGCAGCCTGTAGACAACGGCAGAAGACCCTAAACCCATGTCTGGGACTGGAATGATGCCATCTGCACGGCAGGCTCTGATCACGCGCTGGACTGCCGAAAGTGGCGTCAGGCTTGGGCTTATGTAAATCCTAAAGAAGAAACCCCGAACCCCACAGACCCTCAATCCTAAACTGCAAACCGCGGCCCAAGCCCTAGAAGCCCAAAGCCTTAAAGCCCAAACCAAAAAAAAAGCCCAAACCAAACCCTTTCAACCCGATTGTACACCCAGAACCTAAGCTCTGCGACCAGCCCGCAGATGATCATCATGTACGTAGCCCTCTAGGTAAAGTGGAAGCGCCGATGACTCTAAGCTGGTTGCCAAGAGACTCCAAGATCCCTTAATTGAGGAATATACCTTAAATTATAGTAGGATCCCTAACATGATTTAAGGTATACTCCTTAATTAAGGGATATTGGAATCTCTGGGTGGCTCCTCTTGAAGCAGGTAGTGGCCTGGAGCCTCAGCCCACATTCGACCAACAATGCAGACCTCTGCACAATCAGTCTGCTGCCACATCGAGAGCTATACACCCTTGCAGAACCATCGTATAGACGATCTTTGGAAAAGGCCTACCTAAACCTCCCCCAAAGTAGGTAAAATAATTGCCCAATACCTATAAAAGGCCATTATTCTACATACTTTGGGGGGTCCAGGTATAGCCAAAGACCAGCGTGCGGAAAGTCCCTAAGCCCGAAGCTCATTGAAGCCCAGAACTCACATCTTAAGTTCCTCACAGCTGTGGACGCTTTCCTGGGTCCTGGCCTTTCTAAAGCCTGACGAACTCTGAAATTCACCAGAAACTTGTGAAAGATCCATCTAGGGCTTAGAGTTCAGTGTTTAGGGATCTGGGTTGGGGGCGCAGGGGTTTTAGGTCTACCTATAGTCTCCATTGTAGTTCCTTTTTTTGGTTAACCAAAATCTATATTATAGGATCCTAACCATAAAACTGGTTAACCAAAAAATGGAACTACATGGAGACTATAGGTATGGCATCCCGGAACCCTCAACTTTCAACAAGAAGCCTTGTGCGCTAGACTCCTGCAGCCCTAAGCCCCTACATCTGCACATCCAGAAAACTGCAGAAAACCTTACATAGTGAAAATCCGAAGCCCTCAACGCCTAAATCCTGAGAGGGGTTTCAACATCCCTTATGGATGCACTTCCTGCAAAGCCCTGATAAAGCCATCTAAAAACCCGAAACGGAAACCCTAGGGCTCCAGTTACCTAAAACATAGGTTACTAACCGTATATCCCTAAGGGTCCATGTACCCATATAGCATATACTTTGGGCCCAATGTAACTATATAGGGAGTACTTTAAGGCCAAAGTATCTACTATATGAGTACATGGACCCTTAGGGTATTATATACCCCAGTAACCTACTATTTAGGTAACTGGAGCCCTAGGGAAAT